TTCACCCACTGAATGAATACTGTCTTTGTTTATGGCTCAGCTGGATGAAATCTGAGTGTGTGTGTGTGTGTGTGTGTGTGTGTGTGTGTGTGTGTGTGTGTGTGTGTGCGTGTGTGTGTGTGTGTGTGTGTGTGTGTGTGTGTGTGTGTGTGTGTGTGTGTGTGAATGTGAGTGAGTATATGCATGCTTGTGCGTGCATACATCTCGATAGACAAGTAAGGGCAAGCAGATGGCATGTTGACGCTAAGCCCACACGTGCCGTACCCTACGCGTGCTTTTCAGTGACCCTTCACCTCCATCTGACTCCATTCTTCAGATTCCACACATTACTCAGAGAGGTTTGGCCGGGCTTTATGGGACACAACATGGTCCCCTGTATTGACAATAATAATGCCCTCTTTCTAATAATGTCATCTACAAATATTAGAATTCCTCCGAGCAGCAGCATTTGAAAACGAAATCTCATCAGATTTCTGTATAAAGCTATTTAGTCCATTGTCTTAGGACCAGTTCCGAACAGTATGTTTACTATGTAATATGTACTGTACATATGAACACACAAAAGGTGGACACAACAACATAATGACCAACTGCAGCCCAATAAAACAGTCATTTAGCTCCATTATAAGCTGTCATGTTCTTTTTCTCCTCTGTGGAGGGACCTGCTCTCCTGTAGTTAAAAACTCTTCATTCTAAGGTAACAAAAACGCAACAATTCCTATATTCAGGTGATTATACACTAATGAAAACACACCTAAAGAGCCAGATATTTCTCTAGGTGGAGACAAAAAACAGAGCTAGGACTCCAAATGATGCTAATGTTTCCACATATCTGCTGGATCTGTAAATAAGCAACTGTACATTAACAAGTTTGTTGAATAAACTTAAAAGCTGATATCGCGTATGTTAGTGTGTTTAAAATCTGTTTCAACTGCTCCAAAGTCACCAAAGAATCAGTTATTGGAGCTTTAAGGATTGGTTATGTTAAGGCAACAAAAACTACTTGCTTCTAAGAGATGACAGTCATTATTCGTTTGACCACAACAGGTCGCTCATCAGGAAGGTCAATGACCGATTTTCCTTTATGGTGAACACAGTCCTAATGAACATTCAATACGTAACTTCAATGTGTGTGTAATATGAGATTTAGAAATCATTATTTTGTGCCATCATTGACTGGTAAAGTTGTCAACAGCTGCAAAGGCGAAGCATTATGGAGTTTTTAGAAAATAGTAGTGTAAATGAATATTACTGTTTGTAGAGCTTGAGAACACTTTACAGACAATATATTTGTATTTAGAACTCCAACACTCATAAATAGCCAGAACAAAATAGAATAAAGTAAATATAAAGCACTCTGTAGATGCTTTGAGTTTAAATATGTGACTGTTCATGTCTAATCAGCCCTAATCATGGCGTCTGTGTTTCCATAGGCAACAGAGAGGGGCAGATGTTCCTGCTCCCACTGAGGAGGCAGCAATTAGGCAAATGTGACAGGTAACAAATGGAGACTTCACAGTACGTCAGAGAATTAATTAATAGCTGATCTAAATATGGCTTCCCACCTCTGCGTTAAGTGGTTCGCGGCTCAGGACAGAGATTTAACCCCACTGTACCTTAAGACATGTATCTTGGTGTGTTTGTGTGCTTGTGCGGGTTTGCCCTTATCTTTAACATCAGTGTTAGACACTAGGAAACAACTTCTCTCAGCTCTTTGGCCTACTTGTGTTCTTTCTTTCAGGACTTTGGAAACTCTAGATTAGTTATCTTGTATTCTGTTGGGTACTGTGTCATGTAAGGGTGTTTTGTTTTTGTGCTGCTCTGCTTTGGAGGTCACAGAGATTTAAGGACTTTGAACGCACTGCTCTGTGCCTGACCTAGTTTTATTGAAATTTCCCATTCTCTGCAAGAAGAAGCAGTTTTAGGTATCTGAAATTGATGTTGGCTTTGTTTAAAAAGTATGAAAGAATAACATTTCTGGGTGGATAAATATAGATGGCAAGAATATTTCAATGGGAAACAAATTGTTCCTTGTCATTTTCTGTAATTTATTATAAAGAACTGCCCCACAGAATTTGCATCATTCCCTCAGGATATTCACAGCACCAAGAGCTAAGGCAAAACTGTTGGGGCTCCTAATATAAGACCACACTCATGCTTAAGAACCAGAGCAACCCAGAAATAGCTGTGAATAATATCTCTTCCCCCTGTATTGGGCCAGTGGCCCATGTTCAGGTCTGGTTCTTAACCTTCAGAGACTTCTGCTGCTGATGTGGCTTAGGTTTGGCTGAGCTGAGGCTGCTGGGAAATCAGCCAGACAAAGGAGTGTGGGTAGATGAGCAGAATGAAGATTTCAATTGTGCTCAAGTTTCCTCTGGAAAAAGAGGATATTGTTTGGGTGAAATAGATATTAGAAAAGGTTGGGATCCTCTGTGTATTTTCTTATGCATGCGAAGAACAGAACTTCTGGTGTGAAACAGCTGGCTTCTGGAAATGCAAATGGGCAAAACTCCATAATAAATAACTGAGTATGAGTGAACTGACTCCTAGATACTGTGAAGATCTGTGAATCTGCATACTGACCAATCTCATAATCAGCTGTCAGCCCTTAGCTGAGCATAAATACTTGAAGTCGGGGGGAAACAGCTAGTCTGACTTGTTTGAAAATGAAAAAAAAATCTACTAAAAGCACATCTAAAGCTCACTAATGAACATTTAATATCTTCTTTGTTTGATTGGAACTTGAGGCAGACTTTTTACCTTTGGAAGGAGCCATACAGGCTCTGTTTTCTTTCTTTATGCTAAACTAAGCTAGTAATCGCCTCTTGGCTGTGTCTTCATATTTAACTGACAGAAAGGAAAAAGGTATTGACTTTCTCATATAACTCTCAGCAAGAAAGCGAATAAGCCTACAGTATTTCCCTAGATGTCACTACTCCTTTAATATTACATGTAATCTGTATTCAGTTGTCTCTCGTTCCCTGACACTCAATTCCAGCAAACTGATCCCTAAGCAGCTGTAGAACAGAAGTAAATTAGCGACAACAGATTCTAATTTCTAACTTCCCTTACTGTGCTTTTCTAACCTGGTGGAATGAATTATATATCCCTCTTTCTCCACATTTCCCCATGTATGTGATTTTTCTTTGGAATGACAATCAAAAGTCTGCCTTGTTCTGCTTCTTTGTTCCGTCCACACATGCTCAGTGAGAGAGGCTGCCTGGTTACAGTAACGTTAGAGACGGCCTTATTGTCTGCATCACTCATTGTCTCCTCTTCTTTCATGATAGCTTTGTGTGTTGGCCTCGGTGAAAACAAGCTCACAACAGTTTACTTTGACTTACAGTCAAACAGTCAAAACAACCCGACTCATTTGAATCAGAGCCGGATCTTGTTATCTTATTTGGCTGTAAGATGCTTCTGCTGTGTAGACCCCAGGTGCCCATTGTTTTCAGAGACATGTCACATGTTTGAGAACTAAAGTGTGTTTCTGGAAACAACCTTTCTCACATTTGCTCATGTACTTTTGAAACCAGTTGGAACTAAACTAAGTGCACAAAAAAACACAATAACAGTAACTGAAACTGTAGACGGAGACAGACGGTTTTTTTGTTTGAAATCAGAGCAGAGTAATTTTACATTTGTAGAAGTAAGTCAGGAAAGTGTGACCAACCAACCACTTGATGATTACTATTGTTTTTAATTCATCATTCCAGTTTTATGTTAACTTAAAGATCCCTTCAAGATATGCATTAAGCCTTATATACAAAGGCATCTACTCCTTCTACTTCCAGAAGCTATGTATAGGCAAATGTTTGTTCATTTCTAAAGTTTTGTATTGTAGTATAAAGTCAATTCTCAGTGTATGTGCACTGGTGGCTGCAAGTTTATACATCACACATCAAACATAAGTTGCATACTGGACCAGGATCGTGCTCACAGGCCCCGCCCCTTAAAATCTGATTTACAGTGAGCTCAGAGAAACTTTCCATATTCAGCAGGTGAATGTGAAAAGATCCTTCTAGTGTCAAACTCTTCACATACATCATTCTACACAGTGAAGCTCAAACATCCAACTGTAAGTGGAAGGGGGGGGGACTTTAAGAAAAGCTATATCTGCCTTCACAACATATATTATGTTTTAACCATGTTTGTCTGAGGGAAATCACCTTTATCTTTTGCTGAAATAGCTGAATTTCTCTTTGGGTTTTGATCTCATTAAATCCCGGCTATAGAGACTATATTTAATAGGAGGCAGGAGACTCTAGCTGGAGACACAGAGGATTAAAAAGCATATGTGGGATTCCCAACTTTGTAGAGGGGAATCCCCAGTCTGAGGCTGAGTTTCGATTTCTGTAACATTAACTTATACATACATGTCGAAGTACGTGGGGATCACAGATTCAATTCAAGAAAGGATACAATGCTAATATTAATGTTATTCATGTTAATTCGTTGCAGCTCTTCTTAAATCACATTTATTCACATTCTCTCCTAGACTAGACAAAGAGTTACTTTCCCTCGTATGTCTCAGTGTGCCAATGAGCAAGCAACTTGTTCCAAATCAATTAACCTGACAAAGAACAGTTGCAGCAGCTGGTACAACACATGGAAACCAAATAATTCCCAACTATTTACACTTGCAGCATGCGCCTCTGGTCTGATCAAGGTCAGTGTCTGCAAGTTCTTCAAGTTTCATGAGCTAACAAGTTAGTTGGCTGCTGGAATCAATTTGTCAGCTTTATCAGCTCAAAAGAGATTAAATTAGATTATAGAAGTTAATCCAGGTATAGCAGCAAAAACTCAATGATGTTGATGGTATTTACTGCACAATAGATAAATGTGAATATTCATTGTACTAATACATGTTCCTTAATGTAAGTTCCTGTATGATTTTTGTGGTTACTGAGACGCACAGCAGTCTGTGAAATCTGGTTGTGTGTGATGCAATGATTTCAAAATGAGCTGGGATTAGTCTTTCAGTGTGTTCACAGCCTTACCAGGACTTTGGTCTCCTCCTCGTCTTTGTAATAGTAGAGTTGGTCCCCCCGGAGAACAAACCAGCGACTGTGCCAAGTCTTCACAAAACCTCCTTGCTTCCTGAGCCACCCACACCTGATGACACTTGGCCGTCCCTGTTTCTGGATCTCTGTGCTGGCCTGACCTCCACTGCGCTGGGGACTGCTGTGGGACACACACTGGTCCTCCATTACAGCAACTCTAGTCTGCAAAAAGGCAAAACAGTTCAAATCTGTTTAGATTTACAGACGTTGCAACTTCCAAGTAGGCAATAGGTAAACTGTAGGTAAACAAAAACATTCCGCAACATATTCCAAATAGAGGATGCAGCATTCATGAATAAATGAATGCTAAACTCAGTGTGGGTATTTAGAACTGAAATTCTAAAAAAGCTCAGTGACTCTTAAGCTTAAAGTATCAATATTCTGCAAGATTTCAACCAAAAAAGGAATCTACTTGTATGATAGGGAGAGTGTAATAATTACCACAGCCACCACAGTCCAACACAAATGTGGCAGCAGCATGTTTGTTCATTTAAACTATTCATTCAGACCATTTAATGGAAACCATTTTCTTCCAGTAGAGTCTGTGGATTATCCCAAGTTGAGTTTTTCCAATGTCTTTTTCAGTTCTGACAAAATCCTCTCTCTCTCAAATCCTCAGCAAATAACACCTAAATGATCCGTGTGTCTGGGTAGCACTTGAGGTAAATGGAAAAAGTTTTTGGGGTTTTTGTGATTTGGAGTCCAATCATGGAACACTGAGAAATTTGAGGCAGACAGAGTTGAGTGTTGCAAGGAGACAAAGGCATAATGTGGGAGGAGGAATTCATAAACCAGACAACAAGACCACAGGCCAAACCCCTAATCTCTTTCATCTACATCTTGTGTCACCCACTTACACATATCAACATGTCTTTCTCATGTCTCACTGTAATATTTTGTCTCTCTGTCTTTTTGAACTCTCAACCTTTTAAACTGTTTTGAAGTTTTAATATGACAGAACTCGTATTATTCAAGTAGATGAGATCTGATCCACTATGACAAATATATTGGGTTGGCCTTAAAATTTCACACACATCAACACAGCCAGTACATACGTAAGATCACTCACAAACAACGCAACGCATGCAATTAATCACCCTACATATGTTGTTTCCATAAGCATAATAGATTGTTTAAACCTCAGCATCATTCAGTGACATATGCTACTACTCGGCGACTGCTGCTGTCAGCTTTAAACACTGCCATGTTATCAGTGGCTCTGGTTGAGCTTGCCTTGGTGGACGTCCAAACAGCCCACAGGTCCAGATGAGGACCAGATGCAACCCAGCAGTGTTCCAGGCAGCAGTGGAGCAAGTGCAGCAGGGCTGCTGTGGTGATTTCAAAACCACTCAGTCCAAGTATGTGTGTCCTGTATGCATGTGCATGCACAAACATGCTCACTACTCTGGATTCCTCGAAGAAAATAGTCGTTTTACACTTGTTTTGCATTGTGGTTACCGTAACCTACTCATTATCTCTTCTTCAGCTTTGCTCCACTTTCATGCTGGATTTATGTGGGGAAAAAAGTGGGTAGTGCTCTTTCTTGGACAGCGGTGAAAGCTATCATCTGAACTAAGTTCATTCAAGGGAAAATTCCTCATTGTGTGGGATCATTTAACACTAATATTGGAGGGAATAACTTATATTCCTATACACACTTCATTCTCTTAGCTTAAAGAATCTGTAAGTACACACACACACAGACACACACACACACACACACACACACACACACAGTATAAATCACAGTCTAGGGTTGATACACCCATCTGTTGATGGAGTCACCTGCTGTGTTACCAGTCTGCTGCCACAGCCCCTTTACAATTTCATGCCTCTTGCACAGGGCCTAGTTAACAGCACTGCTGGGACTGGCCTGTGCTGCTACGAATTGAAATGGTAAATAACTCAGGGGTTTCTTAATGTGAGCAACTTCGAGCTGAAAGGAGAAACACTATTTAAAATTTACATTACACTGTGGTCTAGTCCAGAGGTAATAAATTGCCAAACAGGGATAGAAGGAATAATGACGTATAAAACTATAAATTAATAGCCAAATGGAGTAAGCTTAGTGCAAAAGTTAGTGGTTCTTTAGCCTGCGCAGAAACAGCATGATGAATTGTGACCTTTATAAGGTTACTCATTTTAATTTTTATGTTGCCACTAAAAGCCAGTTTGTGGGTTCTATCAGACATATCCAACAGAATCATGGGGACATGATGTGTTAACAACAGCCATGAAGTCATGAATCCTATCTATGTGCAATATGAAGATTAAATAAGCAACTGCTTTCACAATGGACACTGGAAGAAAACAAACAGTACATTTTTATGTATTAATTGATGAGTTGATTTTGTTGTTCCGGGCTTGGAAATGTTGCTCTGTTGGTTGGTCTGTCCATCACTTTGGTTCAGACAGAAATGTCTTAAACAAAACTACTATTTCGTGAAATTTAGTACAGACTATCATGTTTCTCCCAAGATGAATTGTAAAAACTTATGGTGATCCTTTCCCATCAGCCTTGGTAGTAAATGTTAGCAGATGAACACAACTAAGATGATGACATTTCTTGCTATGCATGTTAATATTGTCAATTACTAGCTCAAAGAGCCACACGATCAGCCTCAAAGTTATGTGTTAGAATCAGGAAATATGGGAAGCGTGAGGATTTGAGCGACTTTGACAAGGGCCAAATTGTGATGGCTAGACGACTGGGTCAGAGCATCTCCAAAACTGCAGCTCTTGTGGGGTGTTCCCGGTCTGCAGTGGTCAGTACTTATCAAAAGTGGTCCAAGGAAGGAAAAGTGGTGAACCAGAGACAGGGACATGGGTGGCCAAGGCTCACTGATGTACTTAGGAAGAGAAGGCTGGCCAACAGACAAGCTACTGTAGCTCAAACTGCTGAAAAAGTTAATGCTGGTTCTGATAGAAAGGTGTCAGAACACACAGTGCATCACTGTTTGTTGTGTATGGGGCTACATAACATTATGACTAGCAGTGTGCCCTGGTTCTTCTTTGGATTCTCACCCACCACTTTAAAAGCTGTTTTGTTGACTCAGAAAATAAATCTGATAGGGAACTGATCACTTCCTCAACGACTCATTCCTCTGCCCTTTTGCTTTTGCTTTCGTAGCCAGCACAACTATGACAATCTTACACACACTTGGATAAACATTAGCACATTTGTAAAATAAATCATAACACTGTGTGCTTTAATAGGCTAATGAGCTAGCTAGAAAATACATTTGTTTAGGTTAATAAACCTGTGAGGCAAAAACCCAACAAGGGCTACAGGCAAGTTGACCTGTTTTTCAAACCTGGATTTTATATGTAGCATATAGTGAACCCCCTGATGGTGCCAGATGTGGTTGTAAGCACATTTGAACGCAACTTCGAAGTCTCTGCAAGAACATATCACTACCTGACTGTTTTCTTCATTCAGCACACTGAACACAGTCTCCTAAAGGTGTGTTCTGTGTCCCTGTAAAACACCCTTGTGTGCAGGTGCATGTGTCTCTACTGTATGTTTGTGTGTGGCAGTAGCATCTCTGTCCTTTTGAGCCCCAGTCTACAAAATAAGCAGTGGAACTAGATGTAATACTTTTTTATGAGGTTGGGAAATGAACATATCAAATTAAGCATGGATTGTTTTCTAATTTGGGGATGAAACTCTTAACATATTAGACAAAAAAAGTAAACATAGTTAGAGATTGATATGAAATTTGCTGGTGACATGAAGTCTGATCTGTAGAACAACGAACATGGCAGTAAGCAGCAATTAACACTCTACATATCCGTCTGTTAGTGCTAGTAACACTTGCTTCTGTCTCAGCTGTCAACATTCAAGACATTCAAGACATTATGTATTTAAGAATATCCCAGAAGTTTCTCACAGTGCGTCTGAGAACTTTGACCATACTAAGAAGTCAGTGGGAAGAGACACCCTGACCTTCACTATAAACAACAACAGCTCAGCACAGACAGCTACACACACACACACACACACACACACAAACACACACGGCAAACGCACACTGTACATTTGCAATGACAACACAGAGATAGTCACGAATCAGCCCCCCAAGGTTTTGTGGCATGCACTATAATTTCTTAGCAGGATGCAACATAAATGTGGCTCAGCGGCAGTCGAATAAAAAAGAATAAATTCAAACTCAAGTGATGGACTGACTTTTCTATGAGGGGTGCAAATCTTTCAGACCACCATTAGTGTTTGTCTCCATTATGGCACTGAGGTATTAGTGGTCTCTGTCTGTCTGTGTCCATCAGTAAAATGGATACTGAGCCAGACCATCTGAGGATCAGGGACGCCTTGTTGTTGGTTTAAAAATATGCGTCTGTCAGTGAAATCATAAAATACAGCTACTGGACGTGTCTTTAGTGATGAAAGCTGTTCTCAGAGCAGCCAAACTGGCACTGAATTGTACTATAAATCATTTAAAATTGTTTCCTGAGGCAAAACTATTCGATGTAAACTGATACTTGTGATGATGAACCTATGCATGATAAAAAGGGGCTCTGTGTTTTGTCAAGTGCTATGGGATCAAAATTCAGTATTTTCTTCATGTGAAAATGTTGTCAGAAGCACCATATGTTGGCAACATCATGAATAACATTACACCCATACAAAGAGTAAATAAGGATATCTTGAAGTCTAAATACAAAAGCAAGTTTGAAGAGATTGTAAAATCTCTGAAAATTTGATATTTTAGACCTTCTTGTCCTGTCTCACAGCATCAGGAGGTTGCTAATTTTCAGTGCTGTGTTTGTTCCCCATATGGGAAAGTACTGAGGCTAACAGCACACAGAAAGCCTGAACTTCTGTTTGACTCGTCTTTGTTTGAATTGAGCTGGTTTGGAAGAAAGGAGATTGAGGCTTCACTTTACAGTCTGGCTCATCCTTTGGGAAATTAAAGTTGTGCTTGGGAAGATTTTTGGGGGGTAAAAATACAACCTGAAGTAACCTAAATCATACATTTTGGGCTGCAAAAAGAGCATTAAATTCCCCAAATTGAGACTTTACAGACTGTTGCCCAAACTGCCAAAAATGTTGGTGTTGGTTAGGGGCAGTGGCAGGAAATCTACTGTGACCACAGGAAGTGGCCGGTCACAACAGCAGCAAGGGAGCACTCTGTCGAGAGAAAATT